GCAACTGCATAACATTGTTGATCATATTCAAGTTGTGATTCGCTATAACTCCTCAGATCTTTTTTCAGCAGTACTACTGCCTAGCCAGTGCTCCCCCGCCCCTCATTTTTGTGCATTTGATTTTTCCTTCCTAAGTGTAGTACTTTGCCTTTGCCATCACTGAATTTCATCTTTGATTTCAGACCAGTTCTCCAATTTGTCATGGTCATTTTGAATTCCAATCTTGTCCTCCAAAATGCCAGCCAGCACTCCCAGTTTCATATCATTCACAAATTTTATAAGCACACTCCCCACTCCATTACCCACGTCATTAGTGAAAATATTGACTAGTACCGGACCCAGGACAGACCCCCCTATCAGACCACACTAGATACATCCTCAGTTTGACAGCAGGTAGTTTACCCTCTGAAGAGTAATGCCTAAAGGGAGTCTCTAAAGTTTCTCAAGGACCGCAGTAACACCTTACTGTCTGCCATGTCTCTACCTAAGAGGGTCTTAGCAGGCAAAGCTTTTGAAACATTAACTTTTTAATTCTAGTGTGTTATCTAGACTACTACACTAACAACTTTCAAGAGTCAAACCATGTTCTGGACTGTTCTGTGAAGGAGACTTTCTGTATCATATGGATACCTTCTAAGACATTTTCTTGAGTTCTTGATTTGCTAATGGCAAACTAACAGACTAGAAAAGTAAGTCACTTGCCGCCTTGGTCAGTTCTGTGGTGTTTCTTGACCCTATATCATGGATTCAGTCTCCTCCGCCTAGTTTCGGTGGGAGAAACTTCCTTCACCTTTCTGGGGTGAACTGCATCTGATCAACTGCTACTTTGGTAGGGCAAGAAGGTGCCTAAATATTCAAAGCACTCTTCTGTTCCCATCAGAACAAGCAATTGAATAGGAAGAAATGGTATAGAACAACTTTGCCTATGTAATCACAACAGCAATTTGAACGTCTTATCCTTTCTTGGTTTACTCCTGTCATTTAAGTCAGAGAAAATTAAACAGCTGCTGCTAATAAGACGTTTGTAAGTAAAAGGAGTCTTAGCAAGATGGAAAAAGTCCCTGAAGATGCCAAAAGATGTAGGTAGTGTTAGTGTTGTTAACTGCCACTGAAGTAGAAGGTGCAACACATCTAGTAGGATGTAGCGTGGGGAGAACACAGAAATAGTTATCAGCTACAATAATCTTTTTGATACTGACATTCAGTTTTGTGTGTTTACAAAGCTAAGTAATTCAAGGTTCAACTGTGTTAATATTTTCTTTTTTCTCAATATATGACATCTCAGACAGTGGCTTTTAAACATATAATACACAACTGTTTGATGAATGAATTTAAAGGGAAAGAATAGAGGAAAGAATGCTACCATAAGAACCAAGATAAAATAATCTTTTACACTGAATTTTTCTTCTAATTTGTCCTACTTTTCTGGGGTCCGTACCCTTTCTATTTCCATCCAGAACACTGTTTCAAAGACCCACTTTATTCTACAACTGTGTCTCCCCTATCCAGATTACCTCATTGGCTGAAATACAAGTGTCTCTTCACATTCAAGGCAAATGCAAAACCATAACTGCCTACTTTTCTACCTTCATCATCTCCTACAGATCATACCACGCTTTTTGGTCCACCCAAACCTGTCTTCCGATAGCTCCTTTCTCATTTACCCACCCATACTAGTGCCTACATTCTGGATGCCCCACACTATCAGAATGTCCAAAAATCACAGATCTAGCAGGGGGGAAAATCAATAATTAAAAATATCAAAAATATCAAATTTTATTTAAATTAAATGCAGGGCTATTTTTAAAAAAGCAACCTATTTAATTTTAAACTTTTAAACTGACAATCTATTTTAAAAGCCAAAAAAATATAATCTATTCATCATTTTAATTTAATACTAAAAAACAAGATTAAGCAGTACGTTTGCTGTTAAATTTTAAAGGAAGTCAAACCACTGAACTGGTGGAAGTCACTAGCTAAACACCTGGAACCAAAATTTGTTGATGTGCTAAACCAGCTTTTGATAGCATCAGCCTCTTCTGCATGTGCAGACAGAATATTTTCTTTATTTCAGTTTATTCAGCTAGTTCAGTTCGATGACTAGTTCAGTGAAAGATAAAAAATTGATTGGGAGCTCAAAAAGCATGATGGCTTGTTTTCTGCCTCCAATTTATGACTGAAAACTAGATATGAAAGGGTGAGACAGACTAGTTCTAAAATCTTGAAAGACATGGTGACTAAAAACTATCAGTAATTGCATTAATTACAGACAATACTGCCTTTAATATATCAGTTAGTACTATGTACAAAACATGTTTTGGGGGGGGGGGAATCATGAGTACCCAGACTTATAAGGTAGCTTTATTTAATAAAATTAAAATGCTATTTGTGCATGTTTGAATTTCCATCTAAACAGACTTGCATCACAAGAAACAAATTAATCAATTTAAGAAATGTATCATTCATCATCATTTTCTAATATTAAAAATGTCAAAATTAAGAATCTGAATACCTGCAAGATATACTATATAAGGTCTTAAATAAATGTATATAGACTTAGTGTACGCTGATTAGCAAAAAGAAGCCCTGGATTTAGGGTAAGGATATGTTTAGTTGCAAATCAACATGTTTTATTAACTAATAAGAATCAACCGTTGTTCAGAAAATAACTGAAAAGTACAAATCCAAAAAACAATTAAACAATTCTTGCTTACCGATTCAAATCAGCATTAAAATTGGTGATTTAATCAAATTGCATTGATTTAAATCAATCCACCCTGAATCAAGTGCTTTACTCTTGGAAAACAAACTTGGTCCACTGTGTATTCCACTTACAATGACAGAACCCCATTATATTCCCTTCACAGTATTTGTTTATGGAGGTACTGTACCCACTCGTGACTATTCTCTAACTTCATCGGGACAAAATTCTGGCCTACTGTAGAGCTTTGTGAACACCTATTATTATTATACTGGAAGTCACTTTCCTTATTATTTTGCTTTTCTGAAGAAACCTTGCAGGATTTTCACTCCCGAGGCTTGTGCTACAAGGTTTTTGACACATACAGGCCACAAACAGTGAGAGTCCAGAAAGGCATCTTGAAGGAAACAGAATTATAACGCGATTAATTTCTCCACCTCTAAAGATACTTACTGAGCAAGGATTCTCAGTCTACCACAGGACTCTACCAGGAACCACAGCGACGAAAGAAGCAGCATGCTGGGCCACTGATCCCAGGAGTCAGCACCCACACCAGCAGCTCCTCTGGTGTGGCTGTACCACCCTCAGCCCTGCCCACTGGGGCAGGCACCAGGCTCACTGGCAGCAGTCCCTGGTCATGCTAGTGTGTGCAAACAGCTTGCATACTCCCAGACATGGGAGACACACCATTGTGTGGAAGGACTCCTGTCTGGGAGCATGCAAGCCACTTGCACACACTAGATCCAGGGGCTGCACAAAAAACTTCTAAACCAAGAGGTGCTAGGGGTATTAGTGTCAGGGCCAGTGCTTGTGCTAAGGAGAACTCCCCGGGTGTAGGCAAAAATCTCAGTGCAAAGTGCACTAAACCGTTCATGGCATGGAGCAAGGGGGAAGAATGAAAGACAGCCTTGTGGTATTTGAGGGAGTCTTAGAGATAAGGGGTGACTTGGCCAGACCTCCAAATACACAATACCATTTTGTTACATAGGCATTATTTGAAGATTCGGTGTGGTCTTCCTTCTTCTCAAAGGGTCACAGGAGTACAGGATATACTGAAACAAGAAGTACTTGAAGCCAATAGAGTCTGGAGTTCAAGTAATTCTGAAGTGCAGAGAATCAAAGTCTTGAGGTAACAAACTGTGAGGAGTGCCAAGGCAAATAGGGTGCTGAAATGTTCTATGCACAACAGAAAACCTGGGTCAAACAGATATTTCTCCAACAACTCCAGAAGAAGGTGCCATATTAGTGCTTCTGAACCAGTGGTAACACAAGAGCCACAAGGTCTCCCAAATCACATAAGAACAGGACCTGAGCAGAAGGCAAGGATGGCTGCATGTGGAAAAGAATATCTGAAGTCTTCAATTCAGTAGGTGGATTGAATAGCCAAAACGAAGAAGTGCACCTCCCATGTGAAATTTCTTCACTGATTATGCTCAAGAATGCTCTAACTGGAAGGTTTCAAGGTGAGCAGAGGTAGGAGTCCTGGCTGTTAAGCATTTGCAGGAAGGTAGCTCATTACACAAGTCCCATTGCCTCTGCCCAATAGTCTTAAATCTTGAGAGCTCTTGCACCAAGCACAAGATTCAAAACTGATGAATGATGTAAAAATTATACACCTCTACCCCGATAGAACGCTGTCCTCGGGAGCTAAAAAATCTTACCGCGTTATAGGTGAAACCGCGTTATATTGAACTTGCTTTGATCCGCCGGAGCGTGCAGCCCCGCCCCCCCAGAGTGCTGCTTTCCTGCGTTATATCCAAATTAGTGTTATATCGGGTCGCGTTATATCGGGGTAGAGGTGTATCTTTAAAGGGAAAATATTAATTTTAAATCTATTCAAAGTAATTAAGGAGATAATAAATGATTTTCCTAGTTAAGTCAACCAAGAGACATAGTTTCAGAAAGTCTTAATGCATGATAAACAGTTTAAAATTATCCTAATCCATTTTCATTAGATGACCACTAAAAATTTGAAGAAAAAAAAAAAATCACATTTGCCTCCACATTAGGCTCCCTAAGTACTAAACAGAGCAACATATGTTGTGATTTTGTAGTTGATAGTGAACAAGTCATACATCTAAACCATAGGCTAGATGCCTTTTTATAGTTTAAAAAAATAGCAAATACATCCACAGGAAGTATTATACCGAAGACAACCCCCCACGAGTCTGTGGAAAATACACTAGAAAATGTCCTTGTAAGCAATAAGACTACATATTTTATGGTAAAATCAGAAATGCATTCTAAACAAACTCAAACATATCAAATATTTCATAAAAAGAGAATAAGTATTAGTTTACCTTTGGTTTTTTGTTCAGCAGCCTGAAAGAAAAAAAAAAAAAGTCAGAAATACTGGTCAGTATTAGACACTTTTTACTGCAGTGATATCAACGATATAGGACTGTACCCTTGACCCTTTAAAATTTCCTCTCGGAGAGAAATTCATTGAACACTGAGTTCCTGCTTCAGGAGAAATCTGGTGATATCTTACTAGGACTACAGTACTGTGAGACAACTTTCTTTCTACTTTAAATTTAACCCTATTTAGCTATGCTCTTAGTGACCTGAAGTTAGCATCATTAACTTTGTTATGGAGGTTAACATCAAAGCTGTATCCCAGTTGATATTTACTTCAAATTTAATAAATTATAAGAGACTACAGATAACTCTCCAAAATATCCCTATAATTAGTAATGGCAATGTCTATAAAACTCAGAGCAGAAAATCTTTACATTGTTGTAGCATGAAAATAATTCAAAACCAAATGCAAGGGCTCCGCTGCAATATAGGATTTGAGAAATATGAAAGTCTGGATTTTTTGTTTGTTTGTTTTTTGTTAACAAGATATATAACGTGTGAAGTTGACTTATCTAAATATTTGTTTGGGCCGAAGCAAATCGAAAGTCTGGAAGTCCCATTTTCAGAGATGAAGTGCACAGCACAAGAAAGTAGCTTTTTCAAGGCAGTTTTGACCCATTCTGAAAAGTTTCTGAACTATTATAGTGGGCAGCATAGTGTGCGGGAATGTTTGTACGCACATCTGCATTTATAGCAATTATAAATCTAATTAGTATGTAGTATGCTATCCAATTAATAAACTGAAGAACCAAGAGATCGGTGCAATTTACCTTGTACGCCCTTGACTGCCTTTTTATCTGTATTGTGCTCACTGATCCATCTAATCAGGACTACTTCCAACATTCCAAACCTCAGGACACCCTTCAACCTGCCACTTTTAAAAATAAAACAGAAGTGCTGAAAAAAGTTTTTTCCCCCCTCACTTGAAGCCAATGACTGGCTGTACTCAGTCCCAGAAGAATGACTATTTACAGCCCAATTTAATGATCCGAAGTCCAAGAATGAGAGATAGATACAATAGGGAGCTAGGTATCCCTCTTTCCAATAAGATAGTGCACGTGTTTCCATAAGATATTATGAAACCTTAGAGCTTAAAAATGCTATATGATCGACAGGAAGGCTATTTTAAAGGTTTCTAATATAAATTTCTCTTTCTTCTAGATGTCTGTGAAGTTGGACTCTTGGGAATTAAGTATTCTGGCTTTGCAAGTGGAGGATAAAAAAAGTACCATTGTTTTTCTTATGTAAAAATACATGACAATACCACTAATGGTGTATAGGGGTAATGAGGATTTATTGGCACTGCTCTGGAATTATCAACATATCCCATATTTTTGCTATTTATTATAGTATGAGTCTATCTAGAACACATGCCAAAAAACTATGCTACACTACCCATTGTGGATATGTAATAATATTATAAAGGGAGCTATTAGCAATCCCTATATTTAGGATGATTAACACTTCCCATTATAAAAGATTCACAGAACTTTTCAGAAAAGGTTGCAACACTCCTGTTGTTTCCAGCAGGTGTTCAATATTTAGCAAAGAGAAAGCCACGAGGCCAGATAAATGCCTTTTCTTTGTCCCATTACATTCAATTCAGCTTTGTCAGATATAAAAACTTTTCAAAATCTCCATTTTCCTTCCACTGCTTGCATTCCTCAGGAAAAATGTTAGCAGCATTCCAAAATAGTAAATGAATATGAACATTCTAATTTAAAGCTAGGCTCACGCCAAAGTCAAAAAGCAGCAGCTTCACTTCACTCAGAATCCTGGGAGCAGACAGCCTCTCAGAGAGACAGAGAGGCACAGGATGGTCTCCTCTGCAGGACACCTGCACCTACAGCTCCAGGCTCTTTCCCCCTGCTTTATATGGGGAAGGAACTCCCCATATCTGGGAGAAGAAGGGAAGAGAAACAGGCTGAGTTTCCCCCAAACACCTGTGAACTCAGGGGAAGGAATGAGTCACCAGGATAACACAACAGCAATCTCCTTCTACTAGCTAAAGGAAATAATCCTGTACCTGAAGCTGTGCTGAAGATTCAGGGTTCAAACACTGCCAGTGATGCATGGTGGGGATGTTATAGTAGCATATAATTTTTATCTTTTTCTTTTTAAAATGCTTGGCAATTTTATTAAACAACCTGTTAAAAGAACCTTATTTAGATTGCAAAGTCAAACACTCAATTTAGGAAATGACAGAATGTAGGTTGCCCAGACAACCGTAACCCTCCTCCCTTTTGCATATGCATTGAGATACAGTTTTTAATTACATAACATACTATTTTTTCCACACGAGTCCTGTTTCTTTCAGTGCGCAGGATGGACAGTGCTCACCAAAAGATTCAGTGTTGCGTAATAAGTAAGGCTGTTTGTAGGATTCCTGCCTCATTTGCTCTAGAAGTTGGAAGGGAATGAGGTAGGGGATTGCACAGAGAGAAAGAATGGTCTTGTAATTAAGGGAGGTGATTGCACACAGGAGAAAAATCAGCTCAATCCCTATGACACAGTCATATAGAACGCTGAGTAAGTCACTAACCAAAACGTCATCATTGTGCAATACCTCATTTTCTAGATGCTCAACTTGATACTCACCTTGGGGCTGGAAATGCAGCAATATTGAGCACTCACAATTGCAAATGAAGTCATTAGAACTGTGGATGCTTAGTACCTCTTGCAATACAATAGTGTGGTCAGAAGGAATGAGCACAGGCTTAGAACTCAGGACCCTCTGACTCCTAGCTCACTGATTCAACTGTATGGCCTCACACAAGTCTTTGTCTTAGCTTCCTCATCAGTAAAAAGGGGATAAAACTTATCTTGAAATTCATTCATATTCGTAAAGTTTAGATACTATGATGAGTCTCATAGAAGACACCATGAGGAAATGAACAGTTCTGCACTCACTGCAAACTTTGGATGCTGTATGCTAAAATTAAGGCAAGGGTTAATTGAGTTAGATGGATAAAAATATTTACCAGTTACTTCATTCCTTGAGCATCTTTCAGCGTATGCACTGAAAGAGGCAGGGGTTCCTTCAGAAAAAACATTTTGTGATCATGTAATTAAAGCCTATCACAATGCATGGGCACAACAAAGTAGAATTAAGGTTGCATGTGTGACCTAAACATTTACTAGCTTTCAAGACCTTGCTTTTGCAACCTAAATACTGTTTAATATAGTAGTTTGTATGTAATTAATAGATAAACACAAATTCTACTGATTGTAAATACCAAATTAATAATGAATTATAATACACATGATGGAATGGTTTCTGGTATGAGTATTAGTGGCATGACTTCTGAATAGGCACTACTCACACAAAGTTAAATAACTATATACATGAGGTTTAACAGGATTTTATTTTTGAATGCCACTGCAGTAGCCGTTACCTAAGTACTGAAATATATTGTTCATCTATGTATCAAATAGTTAATATTTCCCCCCCTTTCATTTAAACTATATTGCATTTTTACAAGAACTTTCCATATTTGTTATTCGATTATTGAGTTTGTACTAAACAGATCATTAAATATGTTTGAATAAGTGCTTATGTCATATACTGCTGCAATTCGGAGCTATCAGTTTCAATTTAATTTTTTTAATGTTTATCAATTATTCATAGTTTAAATGCAATTTATATATGGTCATTCTAGCAAAGTTTTAATAAGTTTTCCTAATATCTTGCCTCATTATCCAAGATACTCTCATGTTGCCCAAGTATTTCCTCCCATCAGGGTTCCTCCTGAACGTGTGCTTCTTAGTGAAAGGGTATGGGCAGCCTAAAATAGGCTAATAAAAACCAAACTCATGTTATTTTCTAAATTTCTCAAGACATAAAAACCATCAGTGCTATTTGCAGGATGCTACATGAGTTAGATTTAATCGATTAATTGATAACATATATATGACCATAATTTTCAGCTGACCACTTAAATGGATATTGAATGAAATCCATATATTTAGCAACTTCGTACACATGAGGAAAAAAAAGTATTAAAATGGCTGGAGGTGGGGGGAGGGAGTGGAGGTACCAGGACATGAAAAACTTGAGAACTGATCTTGCAACTCTTACACAGTCAATGTGACTTCTCATTCAAACTAGCTGGAATTAATTCCTATGAGTAAAGGCCAAGGGCCATATAAGTGTTAAAGTAACTGCATCTCTAAAATGCAACAATGTAGACAAACCTTTTTCTGAGCACCTTCCTTCTTTTTCTTTTCTTCCTGCTTTTTCTTTTTCTTTTCTTCCATCAAATGTTCCTCTTCTTGAATTTCTTGTTCTTTCTCCCTATTAAAAATAAGTGTTGGGAAAGCTTATGAATGAGGTCAGTCACATCTATCGAGACAAACAATATACATAATATTAATGCTACAAAGTACACCTCTTGGAAGTAAGTAGTGTCCGAAAACACTATTCTCTAAAGTTCCAACAAGTAGTATTCCAATAGAATTGTTAAGAAAAATTCCAAACCAAAATTCCAATGCCATATAAAGAGAATGTCTTCTTGCAAACTCCTACCAAAAGACAGTAACTTACAAAACTGGAATTTTTTAAGATTCTGACCATAGACATATGAAAGCTCAAAAATAGTACTTTTTAATGGTTTATTATATCACCCCACCACAGCCACTCAAAACTAGGCCCCACCACGCTCATTCCATCCCCCCTGCCTCCGTCGCTCACCCTCACTCACTTTCACTGGGCAGGGGGTTGGGATGCGGGAGGGAGTGCGGGCTCTGGGCTGGGGCCGAGGGGTTCGGAGTGTGGGAGGGAGCTCTGGGCTAAGCCTGGGTCAGGAGATTGAGGGGTGCAGGCTCCGGGAGGAAGTTTGGGGGCAGGACAGGGTTCTGGACTGGGGTGCAGGAGGGGGTACGGGGTGCTGGCTCAGTGAGGGGGCTCAGGGCTGGGGTAGGGGGTTGGGGTGTAGGAGGGGGTACGGGATGATGGCCCTAGGAGGGGGCTCAGGGCTGGGTGTTGGGGTGTGGGCTCCCACCGGGCAACGCTTACCTCAGGTGGCGGCACAGCGGGACTAAAGCAGGCTCCCTTCCTGCCCCAGCCCCACACTACTCCCGGAAGCAGTCATCACACCCCTGTGCCCCCTGTGGAGAGGGGGGGCAGAAGACGTGGCTCCGCACACTGCCCCTCTCTGCAGGCACTGCCACCGCAGCTCCCACTGGCCGCAGTTTCCCATTCCCGGCCGATGGGAGTTCCGGGGGTAGTGCTTGCAGGAGGGAGCAGCGCACGGAGATCCCTGCCCCCTCCCCTGCCCAGGGGCTTCAGAGGTGTGATGGCCGCTTCCGGGAGCGATGAGGGGCCAGGCCAGGCAGCGAGCCTGCCTTAGCCCCGCTGCACTGCCAGACTTTTACCGGCCGGAGATCGCAATCAACTGTCGGAGGCTCCAGGACCGACCAGTCAATCACGAGCTACTGGTTGGTGACCACTCTTCTAGCCAAACATGGATCATAGGAGCTTTTAGTTAACATTCCGCAATGGTCATTGTGTTTTCATTTATAACACTGTTATTAAGCACAGTCAAGGAAAGTTTGTCATTTAAATTAACTGTACTTCATTCCACAGAATATTCATGTGGATTGTATCATGCATGCTTTGCATTTGTTTACATGATCTATCCAAAAATCAACTAAACTTAAACTTCCTAATCCTAAGAAGTAGATGAAAAAATTCTGAATGAAACATTTTTTGCCACTGAAAAAAGAGGTTGTGTGAAAAACTACCTTTTCAATGGAACTTTCTGTTTGGAAAAATCAATACAAAATACATAAGGTAGAATCTCCATTAATCTGAGTCCGAAGAAGCACATAATGACTCAACCACAGGGAGAGAGATGTAGTGCAGTTCACAAACATTAACTAATTTGTCCTCACAGCACCTGTGTGAGGTAGGGAACTACTGTCCCCATTTGACAAACGGGAAACTGAGACAGACCAAGTAAATGACTTGCCCAAAGTCAGAGAAGACATCTGTGACAGAGACTGGTACTGAGGCTTCAATTCAGTAACATACTTAAAAAAAGAAGTGCAACTGATTTCAAGGAACTACTCGCATATTTGAAGTATCTGGCTGCATGGAAGCCTCAAAACAGATCTTCTACGTTCCCGCTCAACGCATTAACCATTAAACAATCCTTTTTTAAATTTATGTATTTGTATCAGAAAGAAAGATAACCAAATTCAGGTCAGCATCATGCTTACCTCTGACAGCCTTAGACATATTATTGCTCCAGGTCATGAAGAACATGGATCTATATGCACTGCCTCAGCTATCTAGTTTAACAGGGTTCCCACCCCAGCATAATGCTCCACTCTTAAATTCATATAAACATTCAAAATCGTCGTAGGTTTTGTAACGCTTTATTTTTACAGACAATTTTATCCGGTATAACTCTGAACTTCCAAGCCTACCTTTGTGTGTTACTACCTCAATGGAAAGTAGGTAAAAAAAAAAAAAAAAAAAAACTAAATTAATACCATTCTAAACTGGTATAAAAATCTAAATCAGTATTTCAGATCCTAAATTATATTTCCAATAGTAATGGCTCATTTCAAGGACGGACATTATTCCATCCATGAAAGATAGCTCAGCGATTTGAGCATTGGCCTGTTAAGGATTGAATTCACAACCCTGGGTTTAAGGGGGCCATTTAGGGATCTGGGGCAAAAATCTGTTTGGGGATTAGTCCTGCTTTAAGCAGGGGGTTGGACTAGATAACCTCCTGAGGTCCCTTCTAACCCTGATATTCTATGCTTCTATAAGCCAAAATGCAGGGGTGTGTGTGTGTTGTTTTATATTTTAAACAAGGGAACACAATTTAAATTTATTATTTAAGATTCTTTTCTTATTTTGCTTTTAAGTGGGTTTCTTTTAGCCAAGTAAAGATCCTACAATGGCATTTTGAGAATGGTATCATGGACATGGAACATCCCATCCCACAGGAGCACTCCTTGTGATGATGCCACTTCTTTGGTTGACAAAAATATCTCCTACTGTAGGATGAAGAGACACTGGGGCCTGTCTACATGAACATTCAGTTTGCAGCAAGCTGGAACATGAATCTATCTTGCACTAACTTGCCGCAAACTAACTGTCCTTGTGGACCCAGATGATACATATGAGCAGCTTGTCAATACGCTTTGATCTAGACTTGTTTCGAACAGGACTAGATGAAAGCACATTAATGAACTGCTAATGTGAGTCAGTAGCATCCACATGGAGTTAGTGTGTGGCAAATTGTATAGACAAGCCCTCCCACATAAAAGCAAATATTCAAGAGCTAGCAGAGAAAGACTATTTTAGCTGCAATGTGATAGAATGGCTAAAGAGTAGGGATCCATGCCTTGGTGCATGAATATGATGAAGGGGCTTCCCGCAGCTTCCATTGGCCGGGAATGGCGAACCGTGGCCATTGGGAGCTGCAAGCAGCCGTAACTGTGGACACTCAGGTAAACAAAGCGTCTCAGGGCCAGCCAAGGGCTTACCCTGAACAAACCGTGAACCAAGTTTGGGAACCCCTGCCCTATACTGAGACCTTGGGGACTAGCAAAATGTAGTGTATTTCACATTTCCAAAATATTTATGCACGCTAACTTCACAATTTTAGCTGATTTGTCTGAACTTTGCTGAGTGTCGCTGTGTAGACAAGTCCTATGATGTAATCAGGAAGAGAAGTTTACAGTACACTTCTAAATCCCATGAGCGGAGCGGACAGGGGGCTGCAGACAGGAGAGTTTGAGAGGGAGAGCAAGAGATCCCGCTGCTGAACAGGCTACCAGGTGAGTATGAGTGTACTAGCTGTTGTGAGTGAGTTTGCTCAACTGTTTGAATTTTAATTTTGATTCTGAATTCAGGTGACTTCAGTTTCAGTTGCTGTGGCAGTTGGGACTGAGTGCCTGACCCTGTTCCCTTGATTGCCTTTGATTAGCCTTCCCCAGTGTGACTCATGAGGGGGTAGGACTGACCTAGGCAAGCAGGCTTTAAAAGCCAGAGGCAGAGCGACCAGGGGGCTGCAGACAGGCGAGTTTGACAGAGGGAGGCCTACGATGGTTAGGAAGACCCGCAACACCTGTGCCAGCACTGCTTCTGTCTCCTCTGCCTGCGCCTGTAGCCAGACAGAGCGCCTGAGCATGGATGCTTCTACCCAGATCCTGGTGTGGTTTTGCAGGGACTGTGACTTGCAATTCCCACTTATTGATACCCAGGCTGGGAGGACCATCCAATGTGAAAGGTGCCTGTTGGTGGAATCTCTCAGGCAGCAGGTGGGAGAGCTACAGGAGGAGGTGGCTAGGTTGAGTACTATCTGAATCCACGAGCAATTCCTGGACAGTCTCCATGTGGAGACAGCTGAGGTAGCTGTCCCAGTACACAGGACTGCTGACACACCACTGGTGGAGGAGGAGATGGCTCAGGGTGGACACTGGCAGCTGGTTACTTCTGGCAGTAGGCAGTGCTCCACCTCTGCTCCAAACCCTCCAGCCGTGGTAATAGGTAACCGTTATGCTCTTCTTGATACAGGAGAGAAGGAATCACCCCCTACAGCAGAGGAGGAGAAACCTCGTACCCCTAAGGCTGGGAGGCCTGTTGCCACCACTGCGAATAGGAAACGTAAGGTAGTGGTGGTCGGAGACTCTCTTTTGAGGGGGACTGAGGCGCTCATCTGTCACCCTGACAATTCATCTCGAGAGGTATGCTACCTGCCAGAGGCCCGTATCCGAGA